TTTGAATTGTATAAATTTTGAAGAAATATAATTTTGATCAATAAATAAATTATCTTATTTTAATCTTTACACACATTAAACATAAGATAGAATGATATTATTTAATCTAATCCTATTTATAATATCATTTTATCTTATCATATCATAATTTTATGTACCAAACACGATCTTAATATTATATATATATATATATATATATATATATAAAAGAGATGTAAATTCAGATGAAAAAAGATTGTATGAAACAGTTATTCTACATTAGCACATGTCTTCTCTATTCAAATTACTACATATAATCATATTATTAGAAAAAGTCAACTATCTATTACATATTATATGTGATAATTAAACGATAAATATTTATTTCAACAGATTCATTTATGTTATATGTAATAAATGATTAATTTTTTTCATTAATATGATTACGTGATATGTTTTGAACAAAAAAAATATATAATAACGTGAAATAACTGTTTCGTACAAATTTTTTTAATTTGGATCGACAAGAAAAGGTGATCAATATGCCAGAAAAATACGAAAGGTAAAAGACAGAGACCATAATAACCTAAGTAACCTAAGTCCAAACTATGGTATTTAGCACCCAGATATGAAAAAAACACAAGATTTAATTTGCCAGAGAGTTGATTCTAACTATAAACAGTTAAACAGTGCTAGACACAAAGTGACTAATCATCTCATAGATAATAGTAACAATTCACAAACAACAAGGGAAGGCAAAACATTAGGCAGACCTCAACATGAGCAATCGAAGTTTCAGGAGAGATGAATCATAAAATTGTAGTTGATAGAAGTACGACTGATCTTCAATATATCTGATGCATTTAGATGTCTATAGAACAGATAGTATCCTTTATCACTTCTGTGCTTGACCTTTATAATTTGTCCCCCATCTAAGGTTAAAGCTTATTTTTCACTTTGCTTGGGGAATCATTAGTCAACCAATAAGATGCCTGTACATTGAACGTCAAAAATCAGTTAAAAAACATTCATCCTTTGAGATGGATGTAACAGATTATCTCAATGCAAATAATCTAGAAACATGCCTCTGCAAGAATTCAGCTGATGTAACACCAGTTTCTTCTCTTAGTTCCCTTGTGGCTACTTTTCTTAGATCTTCACCATTATTAGCACCACCCTGCACGATACAAACTCGAGACTAGAGGCCAAGAGACACATTAAAAAGTTCATACTACTAAACCCCAAAGTGGAAGGGTGAAGAGTACAGTACTAATGTTCACATGCATCATATCCCTACACAAGCCTTAAGATGAACTACAATCAACAATGTCATATTATTTTATTACATTCATCAAACATTCCATTTCCACCTAAAAATAACTCCATAAAACAAGTTTTCACTTATCTTATGACAACTAGGGTCAACAGCGAGCCTCTAGGAGCTTTCATTGAAATAACTAAAACCATGCTCTGACACTCCACCCTCAAACTTACAGTCACAGACACAAGAAGCATTTGCACTCGGTGGAGAAAAAGGGAGACCTTTTCACAAGTATTTACAAGACAAATTCCGACATTTTCCCTATAACCCGTCAGGTAGATCTCAATCGATGAGGAAACCGAGATATTTGTCAATGGTACTTTGAGCTGACGACGGTAATACAGTGGCATCCCGGAAAATTTGCCCAACTGACAATGGCAATTTCGTCTCTCAATCCCATAAAACACCCAATTTCCCACCACTCTGCCATTTCACTGCGTCGTTTTGACCCCACAGCCCGACCCAACTCTCTTTTACTTGAGCCCCAAGTTCTTTTCTTCAGAAACGTCCAAATGAAAGAGTCCCCAACACACCTCCCCACCCCAGCTTCCCCTTCCGCATCTTTCGCTTTTTTCTTTTCCAAAACTACCCTCACAGTCTTATCTTAATTTACCGTTTTGTACCTACCACGCCCTTAAACCCCCATCTTTTATATATAAAGCCCTTCCTTTTTTTCTTATAACACTTTGTTTTCGATTTGCTTTCACTTAATTTCATTCTCCTGAAAGTTGACGTCATCAACATGGTGGAGGCCGCCGGTGATAGTGGTGAAGGTGGATTTTTGTTTCCGGTCGTTTTCTTCGACGGAGAGTGCGAAACTGGTATAGGAAACGTCGTTATTCATCCCGCGATGGATTTCAAGGCTTTCCAATCGATTCTCAGCCACAAGATCGGAATTTCATCTCACCAGTTCTCCGTCTACATCGTCGACAGCAACAACCCGCACAACCGTGTACCTATCACCAGGAAAGTCAATTTCTCAGCGATTTCTCGCGAAAGGGACTATTGTTTTCTCGTCGTATTGAAAAGATCGTGGCGGTCAGGGACAAGAAAAGGAAAGAACGATGAACCGTCTCCTCCGGTTATGGCGATAAATAAGGAACCACCGGCGAACGTTACGCTGTTGAGGCGAGGCGGTGCAGGTAATAATTTGATAGACGCAAGGGTATTTACGGGATTGGAGGAAATTGAGAGGGGAGTAAGGGATTTGCAGATGGAAAAAGATAGAAATTTGGAGAATATGGGAAGGGAAAATTTGAGAATTGGAAGGGAATCAAAAGGTTTGGTTTGTGAAGAGTGCGACAACGCTAAGGTTGACGGAAGAGATGTTGAGTTTCACTTGTGCGTTTACGATACTGTTACCTTCGGGTTCCGGTCTCAGGCTGGGCCGATTGCGCGACCCGGAAAAGGCCCCGGTTACTAAAAAAATAGATTTTGGTGGAAAATTGAAGAGAAATAATATTGGTTTTACTATAAAAGGGTTTTTTTTTTTTTTTAATTTAGAGTCCCTGATGAAGAGAGGGGTTCAATTGAAAGATGAAGAAAATTTTTTAGGCATAGTTGGACTGTTTCGGCATGACTTGAAAATTGATTTTTTTAATTGAAGGGTTGTGAAAGATTTAGGAGTTCAATGAGAAAGGAATATAATTGAACGGCTTTGATTTTCACTTGATTAGGATGAGAATTGCTGAGGTGGTCTTATCCTTTTATATATATATATATATATATATATATATTTCTTTTTTAGGGATGGAAAATTAGGAAGTTAATAACTTTTTGTTCCCATGGAAAAATGTTGGGAATTTTAATTAGGTTTTTTTTTTTTTTTTTTTTTTGCTTTATTTGTGTATGGTTCTCTTGGGAGGAGGGGACACTCCCATTTGGAAATCAATGTTGGATTTTTTAAATTTTGGGACTAATGAAAATCTCTCTAATATGATGGAGTAATAATGAAAAGTTAATAGCTTTTTCATGATGGAGCATTTGGTTAATTCTTGATTGTTAGTATATATGATCATTTATAAAATAAAAAAAAATTTCACAGCCATCTTGTATTTTTGTTACTAAATGAGATAAATCAAAAAGTTTGAGGGGAGGGAGGAATTTGTAGCACTGGCATTGCCTGCCTTTCTAAGAAGTTTCCCAAGAATCATATCCAATCTCTATATGTGATTGTCAGTGAATGTCAATTTGATTTTTATGATAATAGATATTATATTATAAAATAAATAAGAGAATAATTTTAAATTTTTTATTAAATATAAAAATGAAAATGATGATAAGTAATATAATACTCGTTTTATACCAATATTCATATTTTACATATATATATTTATATATTTTTAATAAATAAAATTTTTATTAAATAATATAAATTATTATTTTAGTTTAATTAAAAGTAATATATTTTTATTTAAAATGTAATTTAATATATATAATTATATAAATATACAAGATAAAAATTAAAAAACTAAAAAAATAAAATTTTTATTTTTTTAAATTATGAATAAATGAATTATCTATATCCATTAAATACCTATAAAAATTAAGATAAAAATATATTTAAAATACCCATTAAATATAGATATAATAATAAATATAATATAAAAATCTGAAGATACGGATGAAGAATATTGCACTCACCTCATATTTTATGCATTGACATCCCTAATTATCATTAATATTTACTTTTTATAACATTATAATCATTTAGCTAAATTTTTTCTTTCATCAAAACCTTTTCTTATCCTTTGCATTTAATTATTTTTAAAGGCGTTTAAAAGGAGTTAAAAGTTTTATATTTAATTTAAATCATTTTATTGCATATTTATATCTGAAAATATTTTTTAATTTTCTTCAAATATATATATATTTTATATATTGCAGTATAAAAATAAAAAAATTATTAAGATTTGAATCTAAATTTTAAGAATAGTTGTAGGATGCAAATAAATTAAATCTCATATTAAAAAAATAGATATTTCAATTAGTAGTAACTACACCTTTTTTATAGACACGAACAAAAAAAAAAAAGCCAATCACAATTTGTAATGGTCATATATATAATTTTTCTATATAAAAAGTGGTTATATAGATATAATTCTGCCAAATAATAGTCATATACAAATAGGTTCGTATCCATGATTTTCTTAACGAATCCTTAGAAGTTTAACTTAAAAGTGTACACCTCTAAAACAAAACAAAATCATTTTAAAAAATATATAATAATAAAAATTATTAAATTCATTAATAATTAATTTTTTACTTTTACAAATAAAATTAAGAAGATGACACATAACTTTAAGATATATTTAAAAATATGAAAAATAAAAAAGAGATATATATTAATTTTTGTTTATGAAATAAAAAAATTACATTGATAATTATTAAATAATAATAATAAAATAAAAATAATTTAATTAATGATTGTACCTTTCTTTACGAACCAAACAAAACCTAAACTAGTAGACAATATAAAAAATACAAATTAAAAAATATAAAAAAATATTTTTCTTATTTGTTTGTTTCCTAAATTATTTAAATTTAAAGAAATTATTGAGAAAAATTGGTATTTGAAAAATGCTATTTTACACATGCAATAAAAGAAATGTAAAGAAACTGTCACTCAACGTCACTGAAAAGAAATTATAAAATAAAAAAAGAAGGTTCTTTCATTCTTGTAACAAACATTTCTTAACAACCACACCAAAACACCCCTCAGAAAATCTTAATAGCAGAAAATTAATTAGCTTCATCATAGTCTCCAACAAGGCCCTTTCATGGGCAACATTTTGCTGACGTGGCATAAAAATTGCAAAATAAAGTAAATAAAATGCCGGTCCCGGACCCAACCCCTTACACGTCTTTCCTTCATAACTACTTCAATTTTTGTCGTCGAACTCAATGAGAGACAGAAAAACCGAAAAAAGCAACAAGGCATCTTCCATTCAGATCAAATCTCTCAATAATTTTTTTTTTTTAAATTTCTGAAATCAAATAACGCCCCACCAGAAAGCACTCTCGTAGGCTATCGTGAGAGGAAAATGGGGGTACCGCAGGCAATGGAGGCATTGCGGGAGAGAGCAGCGCTAGTAAGAGAGTCGTTGCAGAAGAGCCAAACCATAACGGAAAGCATGGTCTCCATTCTCGGTTCCTTCGATCACCGACTCTCCGCTCTCGAGACCGCCATGCGCCCTACTCAGGTCTCTTCTCTTAATTTGGTTCAATGACGTGAAGTTCTCATTCTTTTTTTCTTTTTTTTTTGGTTTGATGGAGGAATTGATAGATCTTCTTTATTTCAATTGAGATATTTGTTAGGGTTTTGATTTCGAATTTTGATTTTCTTTTTTGGTTTTACGTAGATACGAACGCATTCGATCAGGATAGCGCATGAGAATATTGATAAGACATTGAAAGCAGCTGAAAGTATTTTGGCGCAATTTGATCTCACGCGCAAGGTTTTCCTTTTTTATGTTTTTTTCATTCATTTACAATTCTTCAATTTAAATGTTTATTTGAACTAATCAGAATTTCCTATTAGCACCAGCTCTGCTTTTAAATGTTTTCGATAAAATAAGCCTAATTATTTGTTTATTCGATCCGTTTGGTGCTTAGGACAGAGATAGTATTTTATTGGATAAAAGAAGATTATTTATTACCTAATCAGTCAAAATTATCATTAGATTGTGTGTTTCCGCCGCCAAACATAACCTGATTTGGAACTTTTGTTGCTATCCTTTCAATAATACCATATAATTTGGAAATATGATGTTGTTTTGATTGTTAATGCTGAGGCTTGCACTAATTTATATAAAATTTAGGCGGAAGCAAAGATTCTGAGAGGGCCACATGAGGACCTTGAAAGCTATCTACAAGCAATTGATCAGCTGAGAAGCAATATTCAGTTTTTCAGCAACCACAAAAGCTTTAAGAGTAGTGATGGTATTCTTAACCATGCCAACAACTTGCTTGCAAAGGCTATCTCGAAATTAGAAGATGAGTTTAGAGCACTGTTAACAAATTACAGGTTGGTTTTAAATTTTTTCCATCATGCTAATATGATGAATGATTGTTTTAGACTGGGAAATGTTAAAGAGTACTACACATTTGAATTTCAGCAAGCCGGTGGAACCTGATCGCCTTTTTGATGGCCTACCAAATTCCTTGCGACCATCAGCAACATCACCTGGGAAGCAAGGTGATCATGGTAGCAAGAATCATTCTGAAAACCAAAAGAACTTAGAAAATGCTGTTTACATGCCTCCGACTCTTATTCCGCCCAGGGTTCTACCTTTGCTGCATGATTTAGCCCAACAAATGGTTCAAGCTGGCCACCAGCAACAGTTGTTCAGGATCTACAGGTGACACCTTTTCTCATGATCTGATACTAAGATGTTTATTTTTCTCTTCTTAGTGATTATAACTTTTGAACTTCATGAGTATTTGGTTTTGTAATTCATATATGTAATGAGGAATATCAGAAGAATTATATTTTGAACATTTCACTGCTTTTCCTGTTTATGCTTGATACATGTAAGGAAAAGCAGTCTTGAAGTAGGCAAAGTGTGAAATCTCAGATTTTTTTTGGCCAAAGTGAAATATCATATTTGTGTATTTAATACTGTCTTGGGACCATTTGATTCTGGCAAGTGAGCTAAGTAATGATACATCACCTAAGCAATGCAGTTGAAAGATAGCTTTTTGTTGCTCTGCATAACTCATAATTTTCTGGTCATTCAGTGCAGATCTCAAAGATAGACTGGGTAGTCTTAGGGATCTGTCAATCACTGATGGTGGGATTTTTCAAAACATCGGAGTAACAGATATCTCCACCTGTTTAACTTTGCACAAATTTAAGCAAATTTCAGTGCAGAACTTGGCATGACAATTACCTTTTTGTCATACATTGCTTATTAGATTTCTGCATAGATGGAGTTTTTTTTTTTTTTTGTTGAAAAAAGCTTTGATCGTTGTTTGGGTTTCACTTTTGGTGTTCTAGAATCTTGAATCATTGATGACAATCATATGATATTTTAAAATTCCAGGGATACTCGTGCTTCGGTCTTGGAACAGAGCCTCAGGAAATTGGGCGTAGAGAGACTTAGTAAAGATGATGTCCAGAAAATGCAGTGGGAGGTTTTGGAGGCTAAGATTGGGAATTGGATACATTATATGCGTATTTCTGTAAGTATTTGTGTGAAATTATGCTTCATTGATAGTGTTCTAGTTCCTTTTTCCAACCTTATCATAATGCTTGACTTAGGTCAAACTACTCTTTGCTGGGGAAAAGAAAATATGTGATCAAATACTCGATGGCATTGATTCTCTTAGGGATCAATGTTTTGCTGAAGTCACTGCAAACAGTGTATCCATACTGCTTAGTTTTGGAGAGGCTATTGCCAGAAGCAAGAGATCACCTGAAAAATTATTCGTTCTTTTGGATATGTATGAGATAATGAGAGAACTACAGTCGGAGGTATCACTAATTTAATTGTAGTATAACATTTATGATGAAAAATATTATTTGCAAAGTTGTAGTTCTTGGTTCATTTGAGACATATCGAGTTTGTTTTTTCTTAGATGCAGGAGAAACATACCCTGATTATTAGATATTTTACTTTGTTGTTAATCCATTCAATCATGACTTCCCTTTCTAGATGCTATATATTCTAATGGGTTGTTATCAATTTATGCATAAATGGAACTCATGAGTTTTGGATCAGATGTGTATTAAAATGATTTAAACAATGTGGTGAATTTGCATTAATGTAATTTTAGGCTAGGATCAGTAACCATTAGAATGACATAAAATTATTGAGAAAAACAAATTCGTAGTGATTAACAAGCATTGCAGCAAATGGCTCATTTAGCTGTGCGCTTTCATAAAATTACAGCATGCATTATAGGGACAAATGCAAATTGACTTACATGGCTTTCTGAGTTGAAATATTTCTCTCTCTCTCTCCCCGGGGGCATGTGGACAGATTGAATTTCTGTTTGGAAGTAAATCTTACATTGAAATGTGGGAATCTGCTCAAAGCTTGACAAAGCGGCTAGCTCAGACAGCACAAGAGACCTTTGTCGATTTTGAGGAAGCAGTTGAGAGAGATGCCACCAAAACTGCTGTTCTTGATGGAACTGTCCATCCTTTGACTAGCTATGTGATAAATTATGTGAAGTTTCTATTTGAGTAAGTTGTATTTTTCCACTTTTAGTTAGTATTGTTGTATCATTGGTTTGGTATATTATTCTACTTAAGTTGTCCGCTACAAGTAGTTTTTGGATGGTCAATCACTTCGATTTACTGATTGCAATGCACTTGTTATGTTTGATGTGGCATATCTAATATCATATATTGGTAGTCATACCAACTTGTTCGTGATCTTGAATTCGTTATGTATCTTTGATTTCCTTCCATGTCCTGTCATTGCCTTTTCTTTCGTTTCTTCTTTTCTTTCATTGCATTTTGTTGGAAATGACCCCTCTCTATCAACAAAAAAAAAAAACACTATTTGAACGTTATACATCTGATTGTGGTTGTTGAATTGTGTAGCTACCAATCAACATTGAAGCAACTCTTTCAAGAGTTTGATGACGGTGATGGTGAAGTCGATGCTGATGCTCAGTTGACTAATGTAACTACAAGGATTATGCAAGCCCTACAGACTAACCTTGATGGGAAATCCAAGCAATATAAGGATCCCGCATTAACACAACTATTTCTGATGAACAACATTCACTACATAGTGAGATCTGTGCGAAGGTGTGATTTATGTTTAGCTTGTTTTGTTGGTGATGATTCACAATAAACACTTGTATGCCTCTTTAATATTTTATTTACAGGTCAGAAGCCAAAGATTTGTTGGGAGATGATTGGGTTCAAATTCACCGACGGATTGTTCAGCAGCATGCAAATCAGTATAAAAGGATTTCTTGGGCAAAGGTTCTGTTTCCTGACTTACTGTGCAGTCATATGGCTAAAATATCATGCTAAGTGGCTCTGTTTTTGTTCTGCAGATCCTTCAGTGTCTCACGATTCAGGGGGCTGCTCCACCAGGTGGTGGTGGCGGTGGTCTATTGGGAGGTGACAGTGGCAGTGGAGTTTCAAGAGCAATGGTGAAAGACAGGTTCAAGACTTTCAATGTCCAGTTCGAGGATCTTCATTTAAGGCAATCTCAGTGGACTGTTCCAGACAGTGAATTACGGGAGTCCTTGAGGCTGGCTGTTGCTGAAGTTCTCTTACCCGCCTATAGATCTTTCATTAAACGTTTTGGGCATGTTAACTTCATACTTTTGGCCTTCTATTTGTCCTGATTCTTGTCATCCCTCTCATCTAATATAACTCCTTTTTTGTTTTTTTTTTTTTTTGTGTTTCTTAACAGGGCTATGATCGAGAATGGGAAAACCCCAGGGAAGTACATTAGATACACGCCAGAGGACCTCGAGCGAATGCTAAGTGAATTCTTTGAGGGCAAGACATGGAACGAACAAAAGCGATAAATGTTTTTGTGACAATCTGTATTCATTGTTGTTAAAAAATTTAGGTGCCGATGAAATGGAGTTTTCAACCATTCATTTGTAGAATGAAGAGGTAAAATAATAGGCCAGGTTATGCATTCTTTTCTTTTCTTTCTGCAAGGGTTGCTTCATTCTTCATGTGTTGTGGGTGAAATATGTAGAGTTGTTATTGGGGCAGTGATGCAGCAACACAAGACAGGAAGAACGGAAAGGAAAAGGAGAGGGGGAGATAAGAGGAGAAACATAGGACTTTGATTTCAATATATCCTAAATAATAATAAAAAAAAAACAAATATTTAATGGCGTAAAAGTGTACTTGTCCTAATTCTTGTTGCCCTGTGTGCATCCCTCGACACTTTTCTTTTTTTTTTTTTGAAATTCAGAATCCTTAGTAATTTTATTATTGTTATATCATTTACTTATATTTATAAGAAATATAGTAATATTATGACTATATGCATATGAGGTTTTGATGTAGTTTTTAAATCAAACCAAACTGATTAATTTGATTTAATTTCTCTATTTTTGTCCTTACGTTATATAATATGCAGCAAAAAGTTTTTTTTTATAGAAAAAAAACATATTATTAATCAAAGAAAATCAAACATACAACTCGATATATAGGCATAGAATCATCTCAACCTGTCTCGCTTTATCTATTTATCTTGTACTTATTATTAAAAAGCAATTTTATATTAATATTTTAAAATAATTCTAGATTTAAAATAAAAACCTTTTGCCAGAAGTTGCGACGTTTCTTAAAACTACTTTGATCAAGAGACGCTGAAACAGGTAATGGGCAACTCCTCTGTATGCCTTTTTCCCTTTCATATTTCTCCACATATTGCTAAATTAGTCATCGAATCAGATTGAAAACTATTTCTTGGTAAACCATTTACAGTTCTAACTTAATTCAAGACAAAAACCAACCGTCAAAATATAAGCAAGGTTCAAGTTTTTCTGTGAAAGTTGCCATTGTCAACTGCCAAGGTAAAGGTATGACTTGTTCCTCATTAATATTTAACGTAATTAATTCTTGTCAGAAATCCTTGTCTTGCTCTCCTCTGCGTCTCTCCTTCAAGCAATAGATGTGATCAAATTAACCGACTCTCGTTTCTTCCTCCATTTAATGACAGAAACCACGGAAACCCTCTTACAGTCGAGTAAGTTAGAAAGATACTTGGGGTTCTCCTTTTTCTCCTCAGATCTTCTTTCTTCCAATTGGTTTTTTTAAGTCATTAAATTGATGAAGAGTTGGCCTAATTGGATTCTGATATCCGTTTTAAGTTGTACAAATGGGATTGGTTTTGGTCATTGTGAAAAATATTTCCAGTACTATGGCCACGGGTGCATATCAACTTTAAAGATGCATTTTGAAAGATTTTGGACCATTTTCATCATGTCTATAAATCATCAATTCCTTCTTGGCTTAGTGACGCTTTTACGGTAAAATTTAGTCATTGATTTTTGGTTTGGACTTCATTTGGATGAACAGGGCAGCAGATAGAAAGGGGAAAGACTGGAGGAAAGTTGATATGGCCACTGGTGAGCCAAAGGAATGTTCAAGCATCTTACAGTTGGCTCTTACAATAATTGGCACAGTGACTGGAATGATCATCCTAATAGTAGGAATGACCATGGCATCAAAATATGCTCCACAACCCCAGCAGCAGCCTCTGATACTCAAAATTCATTCTCTCTCTGTATCAGACCTTAACGTTTCCTGCTTCTTAACCACGGCAAGCTGGAACATAACGCTGTTGTTCGCGAATCAGAACAGCGTATTGGAGATTGCCATTGACAGCTTTGAAAGTTTTTTGTATTACAATTACACTAATCCTATTTCATGTGCTGTTGTGAAGGCAATGCACCTTGGGCCAAAGAAGCAAAGACTTGTCCAAATGAAGTTCAACAGCGCCCAATGTGGAGAGGAACAGCCCTTCATTGATGACATGGTGTTGGAGGGGATAAGGAACGATGAAATTAAGGGAAAAATTAGCTTTATTATAGGGATGAAGATGAGGGTTTTGTATCGAACAGGTATATTGGGTTGGGATTACGACTTGAAGCCTGATTGTCCCGAGGTTGATATTAAGCTTTTTCCTGGTACAGGACATGGTGTGGTGACCTTTGACCCGCCTAAGATCTGCTTTGTCCCATTAAGAAATTGATACGATATTTTGTTCTTTTTCATGTTTTTATCTATCCATCTACCTTGGATTTTTTTTTTTTTACATGTATTGACCTATTTAACATTTATTATCCTTTATTAATTTAGAGACATACACAAAAAAATTGCAATGAAAAATGTTAAGTATTAAATATTACCTGAAATTATTAAGAATTATTTTATCGACCTATCTCAATATTGAATTTTTTTTCTTATTTCACTTCCTTAATTCCATCCTCAATCTTCTCTCTTTTGACTCTTTTTAGATGAATCTTAAGAAACAAAATTTTTTTAATATCTATTTAACATGATGAATATAAAAAAAATATAAAATCAATTAAATTATCGATCATTTATATTATCGGACATAAATAAAATTCACTAATCAAAACTGTCACTGCCACTACCGCAACCACCTAACAACCAATCAACAGCACACCGTTAACCGCCGGCGATGGGTTGCCCTCCACAAATGATGTATCCCGATGCCCTATACCCTGGCTACCCTCCTCCCCCTCATCATTGGTATGACCTATACCCTTGTGCACTACCCCCGTCAGCCTATTTTAACTTTCCAACCTTTTATCAATACAATAAATTTTTTAATTCAACAATTATTACTAAATATATAAAATAATACCAAATATAAAAATTTCAAAATAAATATAAATCTTAATATTCATCCAACAGTAAATTATCATAAAATCAATATAACAATTACACGTATAAAAATCAAGACTCAGCATATCCATAATAAGCGATGCAGGGCCTCAGGGGGGCATGTGGACTTTTGGGGTTCAGGTTAAAGCCCAGGCTGAGTTTGATAGGAAGCGGTGTTGTTCTGGTTCAATGCCCAAGTTGAAGGTCTATGTAGCCCAGTAACGTTTGGGCTTTTGAGTCATAATGGCACTGGGTTAATGATGGTCCCATCGGGGGAACGTGAGCTTCGTGATGAGGTAATCAATGTTTCTTAATTTTTAGATTATTCCTTGATTGGTGTTAACTCCATAGGAAAAGTTTTAGGGCAAAAGAACAAAAGTTGGGTTGACTCGACTCCTATAATAAAGAAAAAAACTTGGGCCAATGGATTTCATTGTCAATGTATCAGCATGGGGCAATTTGAGGTTTGTCACGATTGCTTGGATAGCTGTTTTCAGGGGTTGAAAGTCTTGTTTATGTTTGAAATATTAATTAAACATTTGATTTGTAACAAACTATTGTGCTAGATCAGTAAGACATGATACATCGTTGTTTGGAAACTCAAATTAATTTTCTAGATTTTGCAGCTATCTTTCTTAAGGACTCCAAATTTTTAATCATTGATTTTTTACTTGATTTGAAATCAAATTTGGCATTGTTTCATGTGAAATGTTCATCTTAATGTATCTGCCCTGCTTCAACCTTTGAAGAAATGGCCTTAAGATATTATTAGAAGAAGACTGTCAATGTCACTACTCCCTCCCATTTCATTGCTTTCGAGTATTAACCATTAGTTGGGACATCAACTTCTGCATTTGGATGAGTTTAGGTGAAAGCATCTTGATTCTTGCATCATTGACTGGAAGCTACTAGTTCGAAGAAATTAATAGTATATCCTTTTCATTAGGCAACTTACTCTTCCGTTCTTTTATTATGGAAATTAGAACTATAAAAGTTAGGTAAGAAGGAGCGTGTTTTCTAGAAACAGAGGAATCCAATGAAAGAGAGCTCTGAAGCTTGAGCATACCCATTAGAAAATAGACATAACAATGCAGCCAATTGATCTAACCAGTTTTTCTTTTCTTGGATGACAAATTCCCTTTAATTTTTCTCTTTTCTTCCCTTCCCTTTGAAAAGTCTGATTGCTTATTGCGATTGATGATGTAGAATAGCCATATATTCCATATACAGGGCAATTAAGACTTGATTTCATTTTCACCTTCCATCATTGTCACTAATCGTCAGCATTATAATTTAGTTGAATTCCGGCCACTGTCATTTTTCATACCCTGTTGCAAATTAAGGAATTCAAGGTTTGATACAGATTGTTGTGAAATGTAACTTTTAACTATATTCTTTTTACAGGTTTCTTGGTAGACAATTTTCAATCCAGTTTGATCTTTTCTTAACTGGTTTTTACTTGTTTGTAATTTCCACTGAAGATTGTCTATTCTTCTACATAAATAGACACGTTTGATCCACTAATTTGAGTCATAGTGATGCAAATGGGAGGAACATGACAAAGGCGAATTGGTCTGGTCTTTTTACTTTTATAGCTGCATATGCTATATGCATATGGATTTCAATATCCTTTAATTACATTATGAATAACGTGATATGAAAATGATAAGATTCCAGATTGTGATAAGAGGGACCACTGCATGGACTCCGGTTTGAACCATGTCAAGAACTGACAGGGGAATCGGAATCAGAAAAGAAATTAGGTGTTAAATAATATGGATTTAAATCATTGATCCCAAATTCCAGATCAACAATAACACGAGACACGCTCTCTCACTTTGTTCCTTTCTTTTTTCTTTTTTCTTTTTATGAGTAATTGGTAACAACAAATCTGGCTAAGATCAATCTGATCTGTGTCAAATGGGGGATTAACCAGAGTCGACTATGGGGTTGAATTTTCTTCTTCCTGCCCTTGTTTCTATTCAGTTGTCTGCTTCTGTTCCAGCGGTTGTAATTCCTTTTGTATTAGCACTAGCAGGCAGGTAGGCAGGCCATCCCCTGCTATTTCTTCTTTGGAAATGAATCTTCATTCTAATGAAAAAGATCAAATTTAAGGCTTGTGTGCGGTTTTAAATACTTATAGCCTTGGATTTATAACCCTTTTCACCATTAAACTAAAGCTTTTATAAGAGACATGTTTTCCCTGTCTTTTTCATGTCAAAACCTACCCATTTTTTTATTAATTGACTATTCATTAATAAGAAGTTAGAATTCTCAATCATCTCATCTTTCACCTGGACTTAACGTTGTAGTAATAAGATTAATGTTGGATGCATGCTGCCTGGTGGCCAAGGAAAAACAAACAAGTGATGAATGCATTGAATGGAGTCCATATAACATTTCATTTGACAACAAAATTTGCCCAATAATTTATTAACTTCTTCTTTCTTGTGTAGTCAAAACACACACACATCTTTGATCTTCCTTCACAAAT